GAACTCTATAGGTTTAGACCTTATATAGGAGTAAGGTCACACAATATATATACGAGCCCTTATAATATAGGTTACTTCACTTCGCTCCGCAATTAATAAATATAGTTAAGTATATGTGAAGGATATGCCTGGGCGCACATTCTCCCGCTCGGCCAAAAGACCATTATATCAGAGCGAGAGCTCTGATATGCCCAGGACCAATATATATAGTAGCGCACATAGTTTATCCGTGACAGTATACCAATTATAATATACTATTAGTATAGCGATTTTACTATTAGTATAGCGCTAATTCTAGATTTAGATTAGTCTATTATAGTAACTATTTTCTAATATAAGTATAGCTTATTATAGGATCGCTATAGTATAAATAATGTATAGCCCCTAAGTTATATTAGCCATAGAGTACTTCTATGATCGCTATATAATTAGCCCTAATCAATTAATCAATTTAATCTACTAAGTTTATACCTCTATTAAATTATATAACTAATATAGGGCTAATTTTATAGTATTATCTTAGGACCCTACAGTGAGAATACCCTATATCTAAATTATCGGAGATAAACTAATTCCTATACTATAAATAGCTTTATCTTTTAACTTTATTTTAAAATCCTATTATTTTCACTATTAACTTCGTTATTAATATCTTTAATTAAGTATACCCCTAATCGCCTAGCTAAGTATACCCCTAATCCTCCGACTAAGTATATAGGCCCCTAGCTTATACTTCTATATTTAGTTAGATTTAGATAGTTTATATCATATAATAAATAATTTTAATTACTAGGCTTAGTGTATATCTAATACCGGTAGAATTATTCTACTATTTCTTAGCGATAATATTTTCGCCGTATTAGAACTCTATAGATTTAGACCTTATATAGGAGTAAGGTCATATAATATACACCCCAGCCCTTATAATATAGGTTACTTCGCTTCGCTCTATAATTAGTAAATAATTAGACTATCTTCTTTATATCTATATCCTTATAATAAGGAATAATGTATTCGGTAAGCGAGTGGGCTATATAAGCTAGTGGGCCACCGAACCCGAAATATATCTATAGATTAGCACTTAGTCAATTTAACCACGTACTATACCACCAATTCGCTCCTAATCCTCTAGCAATTTAGTAGAGTAAGAGGGTAGGCTTTTATTAGCTATCTAGGCTTTTAAAAATAAAGAAATCTCTTTAATTCGTGAATTAGCGCGTCGTTTTAATATACCGCGTATAACTTTATAACGCCGCCTTACTAGTGATTTCTTTCGTCCTAAATACCCGCTAATAACTATAGACTAACTAAACTTAAAGAGGAATCTCTTAAAAAATAGATTCTCTCTATAGACTCTTATAGATTAGCCACCTAGCCCTTAACAGTATAGGAAATAGCGGATCTTCCACTTCAAAAGTGTGAAATTACCCTAGTTCTTTCGGTTAGCGAAAAATAGGTATATAACTTTATAAAATAATATCCTCTCCTCTCCTCCTAATTCTTAAAACGGTATTATTATAAGTGTACAAAATATAAAGACCCTAAAATCATTAGGGAGTAGTTTAATTTAGAAAAAATAATCCTTTAATTTAGAATCGATCCTAATAATATTTGTAACTTTAATAAGACTAGTTTTATCATAGGATTAACTATAAATACGAAGGTTATTATAAGGAGTGAATACTATAGTTAGAGGCTAGTTTTATAACCTAGAAATTATAAATAGGTGACTATAATTAAATATATAAATACTTCTAGATAGGCCCTTCCTCTATATATAATTTTTAAAGGTAAAGTCTTTATTAAATTATAGTTTAACGGCCTTCTAGGGAATTAGCGCTTTTAAGTTAGTCCTAATAGTTAAACCTCTAATAAAGTTAGACTTCGGTGGCTTAAGAAGCTCTTTATGCCTAGTACTTTATGTATAAAGGGGTATACTAGCTTTTAATACTTAATAGCTATAGAAGTTATTTAACGCCTAAATTGGATAAAATTTATAAGTAAAATAAGGTAATACTAATCTATATACCTATATATTTATCTTATCTTTTATAATCTCTAGATATTAGTTAAAACGATTATATAGCTAGCTAGTTAAGATAAAAATATATACTAGGATTAATTATATTAATAAACTTAACTTCCTTAAAGTATACCCTCTTATATAAATTAAAATATTTAAATTAGAGACTATTAAAAATAGCTTTAGGGTAGCTAGTTTAGTCCCTTTTAAACTAGAGAGTGATATCAAAGCTTAATATTCGACTTCGAATACCTACCCCTCCCCTTAGTAGGGGGAGTGAATGAAGCTAAAATTTTATACTAAAAACACTAACTATAGAGAAAGAACTATATTAATAGGCTTTATTAATTAAAGCTTTACTTTATATAAGATTTTAAAGCCTACCTAGCCTATTAGATTATATATTGAACTAGCTTTTCGAAGGCTTCTATCTTATAATATAAGGTATAATCTTACTCACTAAAGAAAATAAGGAATTATATACCGCTAATAAGAAGTAGAAGTAAAAGTGTACTAGATCCCGGAGGTAGATACCTACCGAAGAAGGCCTCTTAGTTTAAGAACTATCTATATTAATTACTAAACAAGTGGAAGTAATTGAATTATCTCCCTCCTATCTACAAAGAAGCCCTTCGCTAGCTTTATAAGTACGTATATAGGCCCCGCTAAAGTGTAGTGGTTGTGGAGAAATAGGATATAAGATTAATAGATACCTAGTAAGATAGGTGATTTTACTGTATTTAATTTAATGGTATTTTGGTTGATATATTTATATTTAAAATTGTAGGTTAGGTTAGGTGGCCCACTGGCTTATATAGCCCACTCACTTACTAAATTCGTTAGAAATTAGTCTCTTACTTAAGCGATTAACTACTATAAATACTATATCAAATCTATATAAGTCCTTTAGAAAGGAATAGAAATCTATCAAAATATACTACTAGGGTCTTTTAGGGATAAGAAGAGGTCTTAATAACCTAGGTAGATAGTCTCTCTATATCTTTATTTATTTATATATTAGATAGTTATCTATATATTTCCTTACTCGGCCCTTCGCTTCCGCACTAAATCCTTTAGGGGTTTTACGGCTGCACCACCTAAAATATAATTTTATCTAAAGTATAATTTTCGAGTATATACTTAATAAAACCATTATTTTTAACCTATTCCCCTATAGTATCTATAATAAGTTTATATTTTATAGAATCCCTAGATTCCGCTCTATCTCCCTAGGTATTAATCTTATCACTTTCCTAGATCTATATAGAGAGTAGCCCTAGTAGTTACAGTTGTAATATACTCTTTCTATGCCTAGCGAATGATTCGGCGCCTTTTATCCTTATCCCTTATTTTTATATACCTTTTTGTGGTATAAACCGATTAAGGACCCCCTATATTAACCTACCACTTTAATTTCTAGGCTTCCTAGCGATTTTTGTAGTCTAAAATTTTGATATTATCGCTAGTGTACTAAGCTCCCGCTTCCGCTAAGGTAAGACCACTATCTAAAATAGGGTCTAATTAACGCTATATCTTAGATAAAAAAGACTCAATTTAAGGGCCCTTTCTCTTGAATTTATTAATCCGTACCTAAAGCTTTTCTATAGTTTTAATCGGCGAACTGTGTACTAAACTTGATATAGGAGGAGGGGTATCGCTGTCGAATATTTAAAGCACTAGATCGGTCGGAAGCTCTGGTTCCTACCCTATTTTGATAAGCCCCTTTTCTAAATTAATAGGATAGATTCTATATTTAATAAACCTATACTATATTCTACAGCTTTTAAATACTACGAGGCGAATTTAGTGGATATTAGCGAAGAAATCCGACTTTAATTTCACAGATCCACCCCACTGGATAGTAGTGTTATTATTCTTTCGAAAATAGTGCTTTAACACCTAAAAAGGGATATTATTAAGGGGCTGGTAGATATATATAGTATATAGTATAAAGTAATATAGAATTATTAAATTATCCTAGTAATACTTAATAAATTTATATATTAAATAAGACCTATGATTATCTATTAAAAGTAGGCGAAAATCACCCTTTATAACCCAGCTTTTTGTAGATTAGTTAAAAGATTAAAGCTATTAAAAGGTAATAATATTATTTATCTAGCTATTAGGTATAGGAGCTACCTAGTAATTATTAGGGAGGTTAGTTTTATAATACTAATTCTCTATATAAACTATTACCTTTACTAGAAACTAAGGTAGTATAACCTAACTATTAGTAGAAATATATTCAATAATAGTAAGGGATTCTATAGGTCCTCCCGTACTAATCTTAGAATATCTTCCTCTAGTAGAAACAACCTTTTACTCCTATCCTTCGCCGATTCGAAAGCCACTTTTGTCGAAGTTATATAGATTTTTTGGGTGAATCTTATTGTCAGAGATCATGTGACCTCTGGTTGCTCCCAGCATATCATAGTCTTCATACGTAGATAGCTTTCTCCCTTCTCCACGCATTTCAATACAGTTTTTCAGAGCATATACTGCTTCTTGTAAAACCAGTATTCTTAGGTTATAAGCACCTTGCTCGCCGTGGAATCCTTGCAAATCAAGTATATTCCACGACCTCGAGTCCTCCACTGGGTGCTTGTGTCGCACCCCTTGTTGATTTAGACGAATCAAGTCTCATCAACCCCTCGGGGACCTATAAAACCAAGTGGTAAACCCTATTTTTCTTACTATCACTAGCCAGTCAAAAAGCCGGATTTTAATTTATCCTCCCATTCGTCGAACCTCCCATTCGTCGAACCTCCTATTCATCGAACCTCCTATTCGTCGAACCTCCTATTCGTCGCACCCCGCCGGTGCTCTACCCATAACTATATCTCGTCCCGGCCCTAAGAGGTATAAGGACCTCGATATACAATACTACAAACAAGGTATTAAGGATACCGACCCCGCTAGTAGCTATCCAAAGCTCAAAGGACCATCTAACTGGCGAGATTAGGAGTCTGCTTTCATGACTACTATCGGTAGTAATAACTGGTACTATATCGGTATAGCTCTTTATAGGGTTCCTTACCCTATACCTCCACTGTACGAAGATACCGGAAACGATTATATTCATAAACTTCTTATCGAAGAAGGCGTTATAGATATTGACACTACTACGATTCGTGCTCGTGGAAGGGAGGTCGTCGAAGACAATAAGCGTCTTATAGAGATCTATTAAGATAGTATCTCGAAGTGGGATCTATACAATAATAAAGTCCTAACTTAGCTTCGTAAGACCCTCGATGTCGGGCCTACCTCATTGATTACTAATATCTTCGACGCTTATACTACCTTTGTTAAATTGAGAAATAACTACTATACGACTTCGCACTAAGAATATTATACTCGATACACTAAATTCTATGATTTACGATACAAAGGGGGTTCCGCCTACGATTTTGTTTGTCGATTCTAGGATACACTTCGTGATTTTAACTAGATAGTTAGTTCTTCTTAGAAGATCCTAGCACTAATTGAACTTTGTTAATTTAAACGAGCCCTTATAGAGAATCTACGCTGTGCCTCTTTTATTTAGAACCTTATTATTAACGAGAAAGATAAGAACTTTATAGAATAGGTTTATATCTAATTCACTAAGTTAGAAACCACTAATAAATTAATCTCTAGCACTGTAGCTTCGGCTAATACGACTACGTTATATATCCCTACTTCTTCTTCGACTAATAACACAAAAAAGGATAAGAAAAAGGACAATAAGGAGGCCGAAAACTCGGCCAAAAACGCTAAGGATAAGACCTTAAAAGGTAAATCTATAGCTTATATAGATATTTTTTGTTATATTTATGGTATATAGGGTAATTATTATATAAATAAGTGTCCCCTTAAAGCCACTGTCTAAGTAAATACTGCTAAGGTTTAGGTTTAACCTTAGTAGCCCTAGTAAGTTTCTGTTCCTATACCTGGTTAAATCATAGGCTATATAGATACTACCGGTAATATTGTTACTAATTAGTAGTAGTAGTAATAGCCTCGAGCTAATACTATCTATAATCCCTTCTCTAACCTAGTACCTTAATAAGGACTACCTACCGGAGATCTATTACTTAAGTATAATAGCCTCTTTATAAATACTTTATATTTAGGTCGTTATATTAAGAAAGATTAAAGTTTATTTAATAAGAGAAAGGACTACTATTATATTTTAAAAGAAGGATATCTTGCGGATGATAGTAATAATACTTTACGATAGATAATCGATTTAGGAATAAGTACTTATATAACTCCCTATAGATCTATATTTATTAACTTTAGAGAATATATTCTACTAGTTTCTATAGCTACTAGGGATATTTTTTATATAGAAGGATATAATAATATCGTTCTTTAATTGTGGAATCACGATTATTCCGAACGTCTCGCTTTACTTACCTTGTAAAAAGTATAGCTAGTACCTCGATTGAGATCTAGTCTTATCTCTATATTAGCTCTCGATAAAGCTAATATAGGTACCTAGGTAAAGAATAGGATGATAACTTTCCTTTATTAAAATAAATCTCTTGGTTTAGCAATAATAATAGTTGGTTATACTACCTACGAAGGTGAACACTACTGGCTAAATTACCTAGGAATTAATAAGCTTAATTATATGATCTCGGTTAATTTACTCTCCGGATCCTTAAATTCAGTGTTCGCCCTAGATAAAATAGCCCCTATTTCTATTGATCTAGTATATCGCTGTACCTACTATACTAGTAAAGATCGAGTACGAAAGATAGAGATTTATACTAATAGTATTAAACTTAAGAAAGGTATTGGTGTTATATACCCTTACGCTCCCTATATTAAAGGAAAAGGATATACCTTACCCTTTGGGAAGTAGAAATAGATTAGATCTAAACCTAGAGAGCTAATTTATCTTAATGTTTAGGGCCCTATCTTAATTACTTTATATAGTGGTAAATAATATTTTATCACCTTTATAGATAACACTATATAGTTTATATAGGTATTTCTCCTTAAATTAAGAGTAGAAGTTATAGAGAGATTTATTTAGCTCGAAGCCTATCTAAACATATAGTTTAGATATTTAGTTAAGCGAGTATATAGAGACAATACTATAGAGTATAAGGTACTAGTATCTTACCTTTCTATAAAGGGTATTATTTAGGATCCTATACCTCTATATACTAAGTAATTAAATAGGGTTACTAAGATTAAAAATCGACTTCTTATCGAACCCCTTATTACTGTTATAACTAAGTATTAACTACCTAAATATCTCTAGGGATATCTTCTTAGAGGCATTAATTACATAATAAATTATCTCTATTCCTTATAGATTAGAATATCTCTAACGAAGTACTCTTTAGGAAGAAACCTAACCTTTTAAACCTTTATGCCCTTAGCTACTAATACTAGTTCTTGATCCCTAAAGAAAAGCGGTCTATAAAGCTAGATTCTTATATAGAAGAAGCTAAATTAATCGCTTATGATAAGGGTGATAATTACGTTCTCTATAACGTACACACAAAGAAGATTAAGCGGTCTCGCAATATGATTTTTAACAAGACTCCCGCTAAATAATTACCTAACCCTACCTATAATTTAAATATTGATGGTATAAATCCTGATTAAGAGTATAAACCCCCTAACTATAAACGATATATTCTAGTTGATTTCTTAGATTAGAACACTTTTAGTGATTATTTCGGAACCGAATCGAATCGTCCTTCCTCTCCTCCCTCACCTATAGTCGAAGACTTAGCTAATAAAGATAATACTCCACGAAACAATCTCCTACCAACAAACCCTACGTTATTCGAGGATAATCCTAAATAGGATCGATACGAAGAAATAGAGGGTAGCTTTAGTAGGAATATAGAGGTATAATAGGAGGATAAAGGTATCCACTTTAACGTAGGTAGATTAGGGGTTCTCGTGGAACTATAGTCTCCTTCCTAGGGGACTATTAGTATAGATCACTCTATAGATTCCTCGCCTTAATTAAATTATTAAGATATAGATATAGTTCCTAATACCTATCAAGATAAAGACTTCATACCTACTTCTAAACTAGAAGCTCTATAAGCACTAAGGCGTTTAACTCGGATTCGAAAACCTAGTTAAGTATTCCTTGATATAGTGGCTTTAAAATTATTCTTTGATACTAATTTAATAAAGCTATTTACTAATCATCCTAATATATTACTTACTCTCTTTACGGCTACTATATCTAAAGAATTATTTACTACTTTAGATCTTAAGCTAATAGACCCTAGTTTCGAACCTAATAGCTAGAAACAAGCTATATCCTATCTTAAAAAAGATAAATAGCTTCTCGTAGTATATAAGGAATTAAATCGCTACCTAATAAATAGTACCTAGAGATAAATTCCTCGCCTAAATAATAGGGGTAAAAGGGCCCCTCTTACCCTTCGCTAGGTATTCAAGATTAAGTATAATAGTACCTACAAAGCTCGGCTTATTACCTAAGGCTTTCGCTAAGTCAAAGACCTAGATTTTCACAAGGTATATACTATTATTACTAAGCCTATATCTTTTAAGATCTTTACCGCTATTATAGCGTCTAAAGGCTAGCACCTTTATTATATTAATATTATTACTACCTTTCTTTATATAGAACTAAAGGAACTAATTTATATTAAGCTTCCTAAGATTTAATATAAGTAGTATCTAGACTATATAGGTCTCCTTAAGAAGACAATTTATGGTCTAAAGTAGAGTCCTAGGGAATGGTATAAGCTTCTTTATAATATCCTCTTATTAATTAGATTCTCGAAGATATAGTTAGATCACTCGATCTTTAAGAAAGAGATTGATTAAATCCCTATCTATATATTGATCTATATCGACGATTTACTTCTATTATCTCCCTTAGAGATAGTAATTGGTTATTTTAAAACCGCTATCTCTAAGTATTTCGATATTTCTGATAAGGGTCCACTTTAAAGATATCTTACTATTAATATCTATAAGGATTAAGATAGTTTAATTTATCTCTCTTAGAAGGATTATATCGACAAAATCCTTACGCGCTTCGGCCTCGAAAATTGTAAAGCTATTGTAACTCCTATAGATGAAAAGGATATACTTACTCTACGATTGGAATCTAATAGCCTAGCTATAAAGCTAGAAATCAAGGAATATTAGACAAAAATCGGTATATTAGTATAGCTGATAGTGTTAATAAGACCCGATATCTCTTTTACCACTATTAAGCTTACTAAACACGCTAAGAATCCTAGCGAGTAGTATTTTCGCGCTTTAAAAAGGGTGTTTCGATACCTTACTAGATTAAGAGATCTAGTTATCTCTTTTCCCTTAATAGCAAATTTATCGGTAGAATCGATTGATTCGACTAAGTCTACCTCTCTAATCGGCTTCTGTGATACCGACTGGGCTAGTCTATATAGTGAAAAAGGTATATTAACCTCCGGATTCCTATTTAAACTAGGGGGTAGTGTTATTTCTTAGACCTCCAAAAAGTAACCCTACATTACTTTGTTAACTATAGAAAGCGAATACATTGCTAAAGCTCTTACTACACAAGAAGCTTTATAGTTAATATAGTTACTTATCGAATTAGGGATCCCTAGGTTTCTCTATAAACCTATCCCTATCTTTGCAGACAATAATAGAGCAATTACCCTAGTATCTAACCCAGAATTTTATACTAATACTAAGTATATCGCGGTTCGATTTCATCGACTTCGTTAAGAAGTGGCTGCTAGATCTGTCAAATTTATTAAGATTCCCACGGTAAGTATAGCTACTAATGGCCTCACAAAGCTATTACCACGTCTCCTGTTTAAAAGGTGGATTTCACAAATAGGACTATATACCTATCGGAAGTAGCCTACAATTTATATGGATTAATAGAAAGGATCATGATTTGTCCGGGCTTCGGACAATTTAGATCATCTCCTATACTTGCTCTGTCCATGAGTGGATCATCTTGAAGACAAATACTCGAAAAATATCTGGTTTTTTACACTAAGGAAAGGGATCTTTTAGGCTAGTATGGGGGGTATAGACTAGGATTCGCTAGTCGTGGGGGGTGTCAGAGATCATGTGACCTCTGGTTGCTCCTAGCATATCATAGTCTTTATACGTAGATAGCTTTCTCCCTTCTCCACGCATTTCAATACAGTTTTTCAGAGCATATACTGCTTCTTGTAAAACCAGTATTCTCACTTATACTACTAAATAGTATTAGTAAGCCTATCGTACTAGGTATTTAAATAACTAGGTGTAACTACTTCCATTCGGTCTTTTTCTATAGGTTTTTATTTAATATAGAGGCAATCATCGGGGAGTCCCTTAATAAATCTATACACCCAGTTGTAACTAAGGTTCCCCTAGGGGTTATAGCGGCGAAGGATCGATAGAGCACAGTTATAAATCATCTCAGCAGTTGGCGGAGCATTAGCATTATTTAAGGTATGAATCCATTGAATTACTACTGCTTCTTAGGTGGAATCGAGGGCTTTATTAGTGCCTATACGGCCTTTCTGGGGTTTTGTACCCCTTGACCGGCCGAGGAGTAACTAGTACGGAATATCGAATTCCCGCGCCAATTTAGCGGTTTTGAGTCTAGGATCTTCAGCATATAATTGCAAGGCAATTTTGATGCGGTCTTCTAATTCTTGATTTGATCGAGTCATTTTTGGAGGTATAAAAATTGATTGAAAATGGTGGGTTGGTTAAAATTATGTTTTGGATGAAATTATGTTTTGGGTGGTGCGGCCCAACAACCCAAAAGGGGTTGTTGGGCCGCAGTACTATACTAGGCCGAGTATATCTATTACATACCCTAGCTAATAATAATATATAGAAACTAGTCTTTTAAGCTTCTTAATACTAGGGTAGGAAACTAGGGGTTATTAATATATTTTAGGTAATAGTTATATATACAGATCTCCTTTATCTAGTACTTTAAGGTATCCTTTAAATAATAATAATTTATTGGATAAAGTCCACTTTATATAATGGATCTTAGTGGCCTTCGGCCACTAGATAGTCCTTGTAGAGCGAAGTGAGAAGGCTTTTACCTAGTTAGGTACTAGGTATTAATTACGAAGTCAGTATCGAATTTAGATTCGGGCGGTTTATAGTATATAATAAAGAATTGTAATTACCAGGCTTAGTGGATATCTACTACTAGCAAAATTATTCTACTATTTCTTAGCGATAATATTTTTGCTATATTAGAACTCTATAGATTTAGACCTTATATAGGAGTAAGGTTACGTGACGTATACCTAAGCCCTTATAATATAGGTTACTTCGCTTCGCTCCGCAATAACTATAATAATCCTTAGGGAATAAATAGAAATCTATAGAGAGATACTACTAAGGTCTCTTAGGAATTAGTAGAGGTTATAATAATCTAGGTATTTAGTCTCTCTAAGTCTTTATATACTTATAGACTAGATAGTTATTAATATATCACTTTATATTAGTTATCTATCTATACTAATAGTATCTTATAGACACTAGTTTCTTTAGCTTCTTAACTCTAGGATATATAGTTAGTAGTTAATAGTGTATTTTATTAAGTAAGTATATATAGAGATCTCCTTTATTAGGGACCTTAAGTTATTCTTTATAAAGGAGTAGTCTATCTACTAATATCTATTAGGAGTTATTTCTATTCTATACTATCTAATAGAATTAATTTAACTCTAAGCTCTAATAGTTAGCTGTTTTTATCTACTTAATAATCTTAACTATCTCTATTTCTCCTAAGTAGATAGGAGCTAAATAAGTTAGATAGCCTCCCTCTTTAAGATAGTCTTTTAGGAGTATTATAAACTATTATCTATTATCTATAAAAGGAGATTCTTTTTATAATAGAATATTAGTAATAATATTCTTATTCCTAGGATAGTATTTAATTATAAAATAGAATTAGGATAATAATTCACTCTATCTTACCTATTATTAGTTTATTTATTAAGTAAGCTATTATAAAGTACTTAAATAACTAATAATCTATAAGGATCTTAAAATAATTATTCAAAGATAGACCTTTAACCTTAGGTCTCTATTCCTATAAAGTATAAATAATTATAAGAAGCTCTTGATTATATATCTTATAGTTTAATTCTATAGATTATATTATCTTTAAATAGAATACTACTAGGTACTAAAAATCTTCTTTCTTATAGTATTAAGAGAGTACTACTCCTAAAACTCTATTAGATATATCTATCTTAACCTAAGTCTATTAAGCTAGATTATAGTACTAAAGGATTAGTATACTAACTAGCTTCCTCTTTAGAGTTTAGAGTACCTTTTTATAATTCTCTAAATACTTAAATAGGATATTTTATCTTATTAACTAATATAATAACTTTAAAATTATACTATATCCTTAAATAAATTATTAGTAGAAATTATAGAATCCTAGGAATAACTATACTCCCTTTACTATACTTAGTACTATCTATAATTAGATTATATAAGTCTTTATCTAGATTAATAGCTATACTATTAGTACTTATAATAAACCTAAGGAACTTAGTCTTCTTTATAGAGAACTTAGATTTTAGTAATGTAACTTATAACCCTACTTTTTATAGATAACTAAGTACCTCTCTAACCTATTACTAGTAACCTTTAATATTCTTACTATAGATTAAGATATTATCTATAAAGGTAACTATATATTTATCTAGGTATTCTTAAAAATATTATTTATAAACCTCTAAAAAGTTATAGATCTATTTATTAATCTAAATAGTATTACCTTATACTTAAAGGATCTATATCTTATATAGAATATAGTTAGGTCCTCTACCTTTAGTAATAAATAA